TATTTGTTGGTTGAAGACTATCGGCCTTCTTAAATGTAAGCAAGACCTACACCCGAAAAACCCTAGATCCAAAGCCTCGGCAAAACCCTTCTAGAACTCCTCCAAACCCTAACAAAACCCAAAATCCTAAGCCCCAAACGTGAATCCGGAGGTTCGTTCATGAAGGCTGCTCCGTCCTGACTGCTCCAAGCACTGCTCCAAGCCAGCCAGCTCATGGTGAACCTTGATTTTGCGATACTGGCTTCAAGCTTTAGGTTAGGCTTAGGCATACAGCATGGGGTTTGGGTCTGCCGCAGCAGAAGCAGGAGCAGGAGCAGGAGGAGAGCGGGAGCAGAAGCAGGGGGAGGAGCAGCAGTAGCAGCAGCAGTAGTAGTAGTAGTAGAAGAAGAAGAAAGGTTAACAAAACTACCAGTCGTCTTAGTAGTGGTCTCAGTCCTAGAAGTCGGGGTTGTTTACGGGGTCGTGGTCGTTGTAGTCGTAGTGGTAGTGGTAGTGGTAGTGGTAGTGGTAGCAATAGCAATAGCAATAGCAGTAGTAGTAGCAGTCGTAGTAGTAGCCGTAGTAGTGGTGTAGACGAGTAACAGCAACTGGCACGGCGACTAGCCAAACGCAGATCGCAAACAATACTGGCACTATGATCTGCCTGAAATGCCCATGGCAAACGAGGTCAGCACTTCGAGCAAAAGTTGTTGATCCAACACTTGTCAAATTACTGACAACTATGCGGATAAGGGTGTATTCAATTCGACAACATAATCAGTAAACGGAGTGGCAAACAAACATCCGACAAGCACCTGAACAGTAAGAACAAGCCATAACCCAACCCAGAAACCCAAATACCGTACGAATTGGTCTGCAGACTCCATCACGGATCCCTGCAGCTTGCTTCGGCCCCCGGCCGAGGTTGCAGAAGTGGAGTTCAGTGCAGGGGTGGGTGCATACCTTAGGCATGCTATCTTTGAAGGTTTAGGGCAAGTAAAAAGGTCAAATGGGATTTAGGGCCTGGTCTGAGCATGTAGGCTACATCTTGGCTTTGGGAAAATTGTCGGGTTTGATTTTACTATGAATTTGCCGGCTCTGTCCTCGGGGCAGACTTCTCGTCTGTGTGATTCAAAAGGTCGCTGTTGAAAGCTGCGTATGGATGCACTCCACAGTCGGGCCAAGGTTCAGGGCAAGCAAAGACCGGGTGGTGAACCCTGTACTGTATGGCTCAATACAGCAGTCTGAAATCTGTAAATTCACAATTGGCAGTGCTCAGGTCTGCAGCACCGCCATGGTGCTTTGCTACAAAATACTACGGGGAGCATGCTTGGTTTGCTGCTTTTGCTTGGCTTATGTTGTCGGAACGTAAAACAGGACTAGCGACTAGTACCAATCCACCGGGCGCATATGAACATTCACAAGTCTCGCCGACGACTATCTTAAACAGAAGAATCCTCCGCGTGTGGTGGGATTCCAGAAAAAACGTTCTCGTGGGATCCTTGCGTGGGTATGGCTCGGGTCATTAACTGTGGTCAGGTTGCTTATTCCAGGAAGCTAGGGTTCTAGACTGTCTGGGGCCATGGTGCCCGAACCACCTGAAATTTTGTAGGCGCCTGAATAAGCTACACAGGGCCTTGGGGTATAGCATGCGGCAATTAGAGAGAGGGACCGTCTTGTGAGGAAAACTGTTCTAACTATGAAGCTTGCTAAAGTATCAAATGCCCTGTTGAGGCCCGGGAGCAGCGAAAAAGGAGTCCCATCCAATGAACTCAAGGAGCCAAGGTCACCTCAGCTCCGAGCTTCGTCATAAAGAGAAACTGAGAAACCGCTCATGCACAAACGCAAGCCCCAGGATCACCTTGGCTCCGAGCTTCGTCATAAAGAGAAACTGAGAAACCGCTCATGCACAAACGCAGGCCCCAGGATCGACCCTTCTGTTCATATATATATATATGTATATATATATATATATATACACCTGTATATACTACAAAGATGTATGTATTGTCTAATTATGTATGTCTTTGTTTATGTTTCCATATGTGCACCTCTGCATATCTGTATATACATGTACATGTGTATAGGTTGTATATGCACATACAAACTCTCCATATATATATATATACATGTATATCATATAGTTTAACTACACTGAAACCTTTATGTAGACATGTGGTGTAACCGAGCCCTGCACACACCAAACCCCGACACCTATTGTACGTAGTCAGGAGCTTGCGACCTTCAGCAAACTCAATGAAATCTCAATTCCGAAGACGAAGACTGCTGCTTCTACAGATGCCACCAAACGTGTTCGCGGCCTTTTGTCGCGTAACGACAATGGATAGCATCGGGAGGAAAGCGGTGCTTCCAGGTTGCAAAATTATTGAAACTATTTTTATGTCAATAACTGTCGAATTGAGACTAATGCAAGTATTGATCTTTTCGGAGGTTGCAATACTTTCAGAAGCCCCGCAACCAACTATTGAAGTGATTTTAATTTTCTGTACCCTAAACCCCAAACCCTGTTGTCCTATCACGGTCATTTGCGTTGGCGCCTTACCTCAGGGTTTCGGCTCATGTGCATGAACATATGCATATATATATATATATATATATATATGCTACCCCCCCCCTGGGTTATCCACCCTTTTTGGGTGGAAATGACCAAATTGGCCCATTGCCCGGGCTGCGCCGAGGGGATTGGGATCGGTACCATGCCTCCCAAAATCCCCAAAGACCATAGACAGGGATTTATTGAATGTAGGATTGTAAAGGAACCTTGCTCTTTGAGGGCAGTACCATATATGTTACCCTCCCCCCCTCCGAAAGATCAGGGTTTTCAGATACGAACTGACCTTCAAGAATGCGATAGAAAGGCTCCTCACGGTAGGCGTTTTGTACTGGTGAGCCGCCTTCATAGAACTAGTTGGAGGTTTCTTAACATGCAAGCGCACCTTCTTAAAGGGTCCTTATGATAAGGATCCTACTACTTGTGGCTTCTATATTGAGGCCCGTGGTCTTCTGAAACTCCTAAACACTAAAGGTCCATGTACATGTACGTATCGTATATACAATAGCTCTAATATTGCCTTTCAGCAACCCTTTCACAACCAAAGTCGACACTACTTATAGGTTTCTCATAGAAACCATAAAGAAATCGTTTGTGGAGCCCTTATAGATCTCTGCAGAAACCTTCTCACTCAATCCATTACAAAACCCTGATAAAGCCCTGATAGAATCCCACCAAAACCCTTTCTTGTGTAGTTGCATGGACCCCTGCAAAGACACATCGAGTTCTCTTCTTGGATCTGTCAAAACTCTGGACTACCCCCCCTGCTAGAACGGAAATATTGGGCCAAATGCCCTTGACTTGAATTCATTCGACAGTCACTCTTGTGGTTGCTACTCCATGTGTATGTGTACGTTTATATAGTATTGCGGCAACCCATAATTGGCACCAAATATGTAACGTAGACGATTTCAGTAAACATACACCCCAAATCGAAACACAAGGAATGTCAAAACACGTTGAGGCGGCGTCGCACGAGATTACTATGGGGGGCCCGCCCATGGTACATATGCATATATGCAGCTTCCTGTTTTTTCTGTGTTTTTGTCTCATCTGAGCCATCCTAGCTTCCCAAATGCGAGCTTTTGTATATCACCAGGTCTCGCGACACCCACACACAAACTCCTAAATACATATGCATTCCAGGTAAACTGGACAAGCACGTTAGTACTGACACTACAGACGCAGGTACATTTCTAAAAGCATTTGGCTCTACGAGATTACTATGGGAGCCATCCATGGTACATATGCATAGACGCAGCTCGTCTTTTTCTGTACTGTCTCATCTTAGCCGTCCTAACTTCCCAAATGCGAACTTCTTCCTATTGCATCATGATTGTGCAATATCGCGAGGTCTCACGTGCGACACGCGCACAACAACTCCGATGCAGATGTGTAAATATGCATGTTATGCAAACTGGGCAAACACCTCAATGAAAATATTACTGACGTAGGTAGAGCATGTGGTTCTAGGAATCTTCTTGAGAAGGTGTTTAGACTCCGTGGACACATACATGTGCATTCAATGCTATCTGGAATGTGCCTATACGCGTGTATATACATCTGTGTATGGAGATCATCGGCTCAGCATTGTGTTGTGTAGGTGGCGACTCCGTATCCATTTGTATCTGACGCAAATGCAAAAGGTCATGCTTGTGTATATGTAGCGAACTACCCAATATTATTGCAGTCTTGATGTTGTTGTTGCGGCGGCAGTTACTACATGGTTGAGACAGGACTGTGTATGTAGGGTTTGACTTTCAGTCCGGAGTATTGAAGTTCAATCCCGAGGATTGAACTTCAATACCCCCGGATCCAAGATTCAAGATTCAAGATCCTGGGGAAACTTTGTCCTGGAATCTTGAATCTTGAATCTTGGATCCGGGAGTATTGAAGTTCAATCCCCGGGATTGAAGTTCAATACTCGGGATGCATCGGGAGCGCTCTCACTTCCCTAAACAGGTGCGCAGGCATGTACACTAACATCTGTTGTATTGTTTTGGTACTGCACACGTTCAGAGTACACACGTACTTGTCTTTTGAGTCGGTAGATAAGCGAGGGGGAGGGGTCAGGGGCAGATTGCACAGGATTTACACCAAAACTGGTGGATAACTCGGGGGGGGGGGATAATATATATATATATATATATATGTTTATCATACATATATGGAAGTTTCCGAGATCCCTCTAAGATACAAAATGACTATAGCACCTGTTCTGTGAAACTGGGGAGCAGCATCTAAACGGTGCCGTTGTTGACAACAAGGACATAGCTCGAAGGCATGCAGGCAGAAAGGGGCTGGGATTTGCACACTGTGGCACGTTTCAATATTCTCTCAAACCTATAACCCGGCCTTGCTCCAAGCCCCCTAAAGGAGGACCTAAACCGGAACCCGACAAGCATGTCATCCATGTCTTGCAACCCGAAGACCCGCGCTCCGATCTGACTCATGGTACAATGCATGCCCCAAAATCATTTTCGATTTGAATTGCCCGAGAGAACTCGAGATACGGGAGCCCAGAAAAACCCTGCTCGGACGAGTGGCATGCCTTCGGAGGAAGGCAGAAGGCCTTGACAAGGTGTGCTTGAAGAGAAACGAAGCCTGGGCAGGTCTTTGCGAGAGCGTCGGCTGCAGTGTGTAGGGTGTTGAAAAACCATAGAAATCGCGGCTATCACGGCTTTGCTGCCTGGCTGCGTAAAGGTATTGTCTTCTTTAAAGTGCTGTGTTTCCTGGTATAGGCGCACTGTAGAGTCGGTACGAGTCGTCTCAAGAAATCAGGAGGGTTACTGCTGCTGAGACAAGACCTCAAGCCTTCGGCTTAATCACTAACTGATGGGAGGCCAAAAGGGGGATTAAGATTCTTGGGTTAGGGATTCCTTAATATGAACCCAATTATGGGAACCCCAATCCCTACTAAACCCCCACAGGCTAAAACCCCTTTTGGCCTCCTATGATTAACGGCCGACCTCTTGCCTTCGCGCACAGTAGTAGATTCGGACATCCGGCATCTCCGTTGGAATACTGATCATGCCGACTGGTACCAGTTTTCCGTCTCGAGAATAAATGCTGAGAGGCTGCGTTATGATTGATTTTCGGACCCTAACCCTGAACCCTATGAGCGCTGAACTCGACGACGTGATGCCTGCTTTCCTCACAGGTGCCTGAACCGTAAATCAGAGGGACCCTTACGGGGGCAGGCGGAGGGGGGGGTAGCGGCCCATAATCAGGACCTGAAAAGGCCTACAAAAGGAAGTATAGTCCCCTACCCCCCTCCCCCCTCTTCCCCTAAGGGTCCTTATGAGTTAACGCCGCTGAGCAGGTCCAAACAAACCAGGGCCTCAGGCTTCTTGGGTTCTTCGAGCCCAGCTCGCAAATGTACCCACACCACAGATCAATAGACCCTCGCACCGAGCGGTAGAACCAACAAATTTAATCAAAATCTATGCAAATCTGCCCGGTATTATGTATACAGATTTATATGTATATACACATGTGTGTATATGTATATATGTGTGTGTGAAAGGCAAGTATGTAGTTGCTTACTTACATAAACACACAGCTACATAAGTATGCACTTATGTATTCTGCATGCATCCATACATAGTCGCGCACATGCATATACCTACATAGCTACATTACATGCATGCGTACACACATACATACATGCATGCATTCATACATAGATGCATACACCCTGTACACGCATACAGTATATGTCCGTATGCATGCATGCATGCATGCATGTTGTTATGTATGTAAGTACGTATGTATGCACGTATATCTATATATACGGAAATATGTACATACATATACACATATATATGTATATATATATATATATATATATATATATATATATACATGTGTGCTCTCATGTAGGTGTGTATGTATGCATAATGCTTACGCATGCTCTTTGTTCGTTTGTTTGTTCGTTTGTACGTAGTGTATTATACATATGTAAAATCACGCCTGTATGTTTGCGTGTGTGTGTATGTATATTGATGTATCCTGCCAGACCATGTCAGGTCATATCATATCATGCCATAAATACTTGCACATATACATACACATGCATATGTACATATATACAGGTACTCAGATGTACACACATTTGTTCTCATTACTAAACCTGCGAACTGACGGAGCAACCAAGCGGATGCTGAACTCCACGGGGCATCGGGGGAAGCCTCAAAGCTTATCGGCAGTCGATTCTAGGGCTTAGGGTTTCGGCATTAAAGTCTAGGGTTTAGGGGTTTGATGGCTTTAGGATGTGGTTTAACAGGCTTTACAGCACAAAATATTAAGGATTCTAAGGCGTTTGTAGAACTCGACGGCTGTCTGTTCAGGATGCTAGGGCTGTAAGGTTTCGGGTTAGGGGTTGTGGGAGTTGCAGAGATGGGCTTAGATGGCTTGTTGTGTCTAGCGTTCGCGGCTTTGTGGAGGGTCTCATACGCACAAGGATCAAAATGAGGCTCAAAGGAGGATGGCGGTTTGCACTCTTCTGGGCAGCGAGGTAGGAGATAACCTATGGGCGTCTGAATAATTAGTACTACCACCCTGTTGCATTGCAATACAGGCCTGATCATGCAAAACCCTTCCTTGATACAAACAACTCACAAAGTCTATTCTTCTTATTAGCATACTGACACAAGTAGAAATGACTTAATCGCTTGATGGACGAACAGCAACTGGTGTGCCGATGAGAATAATGTATTCAGCAATAGGGTACACTTAGGGTCTTGGGGTGTATGGCATGGAACTTCCAACCCTCTCTCAGTCAGTCCGAGACTTAGCACTGCACTTGCTCCCGTATGCGCCTGGCACCTACTGTCACATGACCCCAATTTTTTCTGCTTTGACTTTTGTAGCTGCGACTCCTCTCTGCCATTGCCAGCTAGGAGGCCCCCCAGGTCCTAAACCCTGAATCCTAATTGAAATCCGGCCGTGCAGCCAAGTGTGGTAGCTCGTGCTGTTGGACTCCGATCTCGCGGCAAGGCTTCTTGAGGCCGGGTAGTGAGGATTCACCTGAGAAGCGGTGAGCTCGGGGTTTAAGAGCAGGCTTAGAGTGGGGGCTGTTGCACGACATGCTTCCCTCATACTAGAAGCAGGTGTTTATCTTCGTAAGACTTTCTTGTTTGCGTATGTACGTACCCGTGTAGGTATGTATGCTTGTTCGTTAGTTTGCGGCTGTATGATGGTGAGACGAAGGTGTGTCAGTTTCAGTTCAAGGTTTTTTGGAGGGCTAGGCACAGGAAAGGGCAATCAAATAAGTTTCTGAAACCCGACTCAGTCCTATCCATGGTGCTGGCATGTTCTAGATCAAGCCAGAAAACTAACACGACAGCAAAGTGCGGTATCAGATCATGTACTCTTGTAATGTGACAGTATCGATCATGTAGTGCCATGTGATGTACCGTCGCGGGCTTTACTGCAGTGTCATGCCAAGCTGTATAACATTGGTATGATATGGTCTAGTGTAATTTTGTGGAAAAGAATACTACCTGGCGTAATATACTCTTCAATATTATTAGGATTCACGAGTCGTATAGTAGCAGTACAATATGATCAAGTACACTGTATCTTGGCATAATCTGCTGCGATAAGATAACGAATGACATCATGGATGGTATAATGCCACATGAGGTCCAGCTTACTCTCACTGTCCCAAGTGCCAAGTATACAGGCTTTATAAGGCCTTTGTCTGTGAGATGTGAGGCGCAATCGGACTACTGCAAGGGCCGACTGAAGAGGAGACGTAACAGTTGAACACCGACGGCTCAGGGTGCACAGGGTGGACTATACAATAATCCTGTCAATCCAAAACCATTGAGCCTCCACACAGCCTCTGATTGGTATGCGTGCGTCAAGAGGCCTCACATCGTACCCGCAACAGCCAGCGACAGGTATCGGACAGCAAACCTTGACCTTGAACCTTCCAGATTATCAAAGTAAGCCCTATCGAATCCCGAAACACAAACTGAAACCCCGATATCAACGACCTGATAGCGTGAAAAACAACTCACAATCCTGGTCTTAACCCCTGATACCCTACGTCGCATCGGTTAATGCCCCCTACAGCTTTTGTAACGAGCTCCCGAATCCAGCCTGCTAACCTTGCTCGCAACCCTCGATACTTACGATACTTACGAAGTCAAAGAGCACCGATACCCTGGACTCGAAACACAAAAGGCCGAACACTACAACCATAAACCCGAAAAATGGAACCTTAGAACCCAAACCCGAACTAAAAACGCCCTTTCTCGATCATCAGAGCGGCCGTTGCATACTGGATGCTCTGGACCTTGGCAGCTTGCAGCGTGTGCCAGGCTACATCATCTCGCTGTCCTGCATGGCCGCAGGGGCTATTGTTCTTTTGCTTTAGAGCTTTTCCGTTTAGGGTGGCAGGGCAAAGGGCTGCAGGCATGCAGGGTTGCGGGTCCGCTTACGTGGAGTGCGGGCTGTTACGTTCGATCTGCTTACGTTATTGGGTTTTGCGCTTTCGACGCTGAGGGTTTGAAGTTTGGCATCCGTCCCAGCCCCTATCTCCAAGCTGATTCAAGGTTGGGGTGGAGGATCTACCTGAACCTTCCATCGGTTTAAGGTTCATCGGTCTATGGAAGGTTTATGGGTTGAGGGAGGAGGGTTTAGGATTTAGGATTTAGGGATAGCTCAATCCTCAATCATAAACTCCAAAAACAAAACCCCAACCACTGCAAAACAAATTCTAAACCCTGAACCCTAAACACCAACAACAACAGAAACCCTGAAACCTAAACCCTTACAAGTCCGAAACCCTAACCGTAAACTGTCAATCTTCAATCCGAGCCTCTGAAGGCGTCAAGCTGCAAGCACTGCTCTGCACGTTTGAAAAACAACCCAAGTGGTCGGAATAAGCTGGTAAGAGTATCCCCTTTAGCCCATACATATGTAGGTGACAGCTCAACACTTCTGCCCTTGCCTGCTGCCTTCCGGGCACGGCCACTGAGCAAAGGAGCAAGATAAGGCCTCATCCTTGTCAGTGGGGTCATGTATTAGACAAGGGGCGCTTACCTTCAAGGCTGGGCCTTGCGCGCTGTGCAGGGTTGAATTTAGGTCCTCTGGTGGGATAATGTATTTCCCTAAACCATATAGGCCCTTTACCACTAGACCGGGATTCCGTTAACGGGGTCTACCTGCTACAGAGCAATAAAGTGCCTGGCAGAGTCTATGAGGGTTCAAGGTCAAGAGCTTCAGCTTGTTACCGAAAACCATAACACTCTGCGTCCTACAAACCGAAACCCAACGCACAAAGTCCTAAAGCCCTAAACCATTCGCAATTTCAAGACCCTACACCCTACATCCTGCAAACTCAAGCAAAATCCCAAATCCACTGCCTGTATAGCCATACCATACTTACTCATTGCATGGGCACTTGGACATCCAGGGATAAACCCCATGCTGGAGATCTTACCTGTCAAAAATATCCTATGCCTCTTATAAGCCCTAAACACCCCTTAATGCCTTACGGCCCGAAACCCGATACCCCAAAGCCCCGAGATCCGACGAGATATCCTACACCCAAAGCATGCATGCAGGGCCGCAATGTGTTGAGGCCTTCGACTTCTCACTTTTAGGCTTTACAAGCATGTAGGGACGAGACAGTACCATTCGTAACTATTGCGGCCTGTATCTGACGCCCTTCATATCTAAAGCACTGCACTGGGCTTGAGGAACTGTCTTGATTTCTGCTCCTTGTCCCTCAAAATGGAATCCTGAACCCTGACGACGTAACCCCTAAACCCAAACCCCTAAACCCAAACCCCTAAACCCTAAACCCCAAACCCCTAAACCCTAAACCCTAAACCTTAAACCCTAAACCTCTAAACCCCAAACCCCTAAACCCTAAACCCTAAACCCTAAACCCCAAACCCCTGAACCCCTAAACCCCTAAACCTCTAAACCCCAAACCCCTAAACCCTAAACCCCAAACCCCTAAACCCTAAACCCCAAAAACCCCTAAACCCCTAAACCCCTAAACCCCAAACCCCTAAACCCTAAACCCTAAACCCCTAAACCTCTAAACCCCAAACCCTAAACCCTAAACCCCAAACCCCTAAACCCTAAACCCCTAAACCTCTAAACCCAAACCCTAAAACCCAACAAAACCCTAAACCCCAAACCCCCCCTAAACCCCTAAACCCTAAACCCCAAACCCCTAACCTAACCCTAAACCTTAACCCCTAAACCTCTAAACCCCAACCCCTGAAACCCTAAACCCTAAACCCCAAACCCTAAACCAAAACCCCCCTAAACCCCAAAAACCCTAAACCCCAAACCCCTAAACCCTAAACCCCAAACCCCTAAACCCTAAACCCCTAAACCCCTAAACCTCTAAACCCCAAACCCCTAAACCCTAAACCCCAAACCCCTAAACCCTAAACCCCTGTCACAACCCCAAACCCCTAAACCCCTAAACCCCTAAACCCCTAAACCCCAAACCCCTAAACCCTAAACCCTAAACCTTAAACCCCTGAACCTCTAAACCCCTAAACCCCTAAACCCCAAACCCCTAAACCCCAAACCCCTAAACCCCTGAACCCTAAACCCCTAAACCCTAAACCCTAAACCCCCAAACCCCTAAACCCCTAAACCCTAAACCCCAAACCCGAAACCCCTAAACCCCTAAACCCCTAAACCCTAAACCCCAAACCCCTAAACCCCTAAACCCCTAAACCCGTAAACCCTAAACCCCTAAACCCCGAGACATTCGTTGCACCCGGGGGTCAATTCCAGGGTCTCTCGGTCACCTTCGTCCTCGTCGCCGGGTAGCGGCTGCTGGGTCACCTCTATAGAGGCTTAGAGAGTTAGGGTTTAGGGGTTTAGGGGTTTAGGGTTTAGGGGTTTAGGGTTTAGGGTTTAGGGTTTAGGGTTTGGGGTTAAGGGTTTGAAGGTTTAGGGTTTGGGGTTAAGGGTTTGAGGGTTGAGGGAAAAGGAAAAAGTTGTTGTTGAGGGAATTGGTTCAGGGAGGGTGTAAGGAGTGCAGGATCTGGGCCGTCAAGGTGTTTAGGACTTGACAGGTCTGCAGTCTATGGCTTACAAGGCCTGGGGTTTAGGGTAGGGTTAAGGGTCCGAGGAGTGTAGCACCATTTTCCCAGACGATCGAACGAACGAGGCGGCGACGGATAGACGAGCAGCCACCATGTCAGAAAAGATCCTGAGCTAAACTCCGAAGCTTGCACCCAAAACCACTCAAGCCTGCAGCCTAACAGACCCACTGTGAGAGGCCGAATTCCGTAGACTTCTCCGACTCGTCACGCCGAGCCCCAAGCCCGAAACCCTAGACCATCGTCTGACGCCCCCTACACCCCACCAGGGCATCGTGGAGCATATCCGCCCGGCGGAGGACGACGCTCCTGGAACGGGCCAAAATCTTGCTACATCATAAACCTGCAGGATTCAGAGCCCAAAACCGTCAATCCAAAGCGTACACCAGATATATCCCCAAGACGCTAAACCCAAAGGCGGAGGGGCTTATTTTTCTTCGGTGCGGCTCGGCTTTGGTTTGGCTTGGCTTGGTTCGGTTCGGCCTGATTTGGCGAGCGAAGCCTCACCGAAGAAAAAAGAACTTGCCGAGCCAGAGCGGCAGGTTCTTTTTTTTTCGGTGCGGCTCGGCTTTGGTTTGGCTTGCCTCGGTTCCGCCAAGCTTGCGGAGCCAAGCCGCACTGAAGAAAATAAACAACCGCTTTGGCCTGGCTCGGTTCGGCCACCAAACCGCACCGAAAAAAAATAAGAACTGCCGAGCCAAGGCGGAAGGGTTTTTGCTGCTTCGGCGTGGCTCGGATTTGGTGCGGCTTGGCTTGGCTCGGTTTGGATTGGTTGTGCTTCTTGAGTCAAGGCAAGCTGCACCAAACAAACAAACTGCCGAATCAAAATTTACCATAAGGTGAATCTTAGTCTGTATATCGTTCGTGCAGAACGTATAACATGTGTATATACGTATATACACATATGTAAGTATGTACATATGCATATGTAAACATACATATATATATAAACATAAAGATATATATACATACATATATGTATGTATATATGAATATATGTATATATGTATCACCGTACCGACACAATACAGGGTACGTAGTATGAAAAGTGGATACAGTACACATGTATATTAACACCTACAATGGCAACATATGTATGTATGCATGTCTGCATGAAGATAACACGAAACACACTACAGCACAACCGACTACCACATTTAACAATATAGCAAACTAAACACAGTAGCTGTCATAAAGTAAAAGAACGATTAAGCTATAATGCACTTAAGCCCTAAAGCACGATACACGGTAACATATTGAGGGGCAAAACGATGTTAGACACATCTTTTACCATACTATCGTAATGTGATACAGCATGCAATAATGCAACATAACATAGTACGCACAATGTAATGTGGTGGTGTCTCCGCTGCCACATAACATAATATTCGGTTGTAATGTATTATTGTATAATGTAAGTTTACAAGAACATTTAACACGATGGAATATTATACACTGCATCAAGTTCTGTCTTCACATATTACAAGTTACTGTGGTTAATAAAAGTCAGGAGATGATATTCAGTAGATGTCAAGACTTCGAAATGATACAACATTTTGCAACCCCAAAAGACTACATACATACATATATATATATATACACACACAGCAGCGATGGTGCAGAGCGTAAACTGGCTCACAGGGAAAGAAAAAACACTGCGGAGCCAGCGGCGAAGTTTTTTTTCCGGGGGGGTGCGGCTTTGCTCGGGGTGGCTTTGCTCTAAGTTAAGCCAAAGCGGCCGAGCTAAGCCAAGCCAAGCCGGACCAAGCCAAGCCCAGCCGAGCCAAGCCGAGCCGAGCCAAACCAAAGTCGAGCCACACCGAAGAAAAAGCTCCGGGCCCAAACCCAAACTTCACCCTAAACCCACAGCAGCCTTAAACTTTAAATCTAAGCTAAACATCTTTAAAACTTCTATGCCCGGCAGTTATTCGAAGCCCTCAGACTCAATGAACCCGAGACCCTGAATATCTCCTAAACCCTACATGCTAGACAAACCCGGAATACCAAATCCTGAACCCTACTATGTGGGCCTTAATAATTAGAATAGGGTTTGGGGCCCATTATATAATATAATTATGATAAGGAACATCCAAAATCGAAGAACAGGTAATACTTTAGGCCCCTGTATTACACCCTAAATGACTCTGAGCATACCCCACCCCTACCACCCAGAAGGTATCTAAACCCTACACTCTAAGCACGAGACCCCACGTATCCTGAACCTAAACCCTCAGCCGGTCTGGGGGCCTGTGAGCTCAACCCGTCGCATCTATGCTTGATAGATGTTTGGAGGCGGTTCGGCTTGACAATTTAGCCGGGGTCTTGAAGCTACCAGGGAGAA